AAAAGTTAACACTTAGTGTTACGTCTCATGCCATAAATTACAGAATAAAAAACAGTGCGTGTAGAGAAACTGCTGTGTGACAAGTGGTAGGTTAATTGCGGTGATTGTATTAGTAGTGGCACTATTCTCTGCAGTCAGTTTCGGCCTTCTAGAGAAGGGCTTTGGGCTTGCTCTCAGTTGCTGTAGGAACCCCGTGTGGAAGGCAGAGGATGATGGCCCTGTGTCAACCAGCAACGACACATTTACACCATTTGTTTACCCTTCAAGCTTAAGCGGGAACTTCAGACACTGAATAAATGATGACACATTAGGAGTTCTCTCAAATGATGGTCTTTTGTTGTACCCATATCGCTAATCTTTCTTAACAAACTCCCCGTTAAGAGTAGTCGGTTTGGGGCGTGTTGGAGAAACTGGTCTCTGTGGCTAGGGGATGTGCACTGACTTTGGAAGTAGAGAGTGTCGTGGGTGGCTCATGTTGATAACAATAGGGATCCATGTTGAAAATGAAGCTGGAAAACATCCGACACCAATTTATGTTATAACGATTAGCGCGGCTTCGCCTATGAGACAGGAAATTAACACCTAACTAACCGACACTAACAAGGAAGAACACGAAGCCCAGGAGAGAGGTAGGGGTGTACAAGTGTACAAGTCCAATGTTCAGTTAAAGTTTAGTCCACGCATAACGATCACCAGTCGGTCAACTGCATTCACATGGCCTGTATCTTCAACATAGAATAGGTAGTATCACAACAGTCATGTTTCTAGATTAGTTTCGCAAACGTTGCAGCTCAACTTATGATAATTAAGCCTCCATCATAAAAACTACCCAAATACCGTAGTCGAAAACTGCAGATATGTAAGAATACTACTGGACACATTAGTGCTGAAGAAATATGAACACCACCGCGACATTGCATTTCGAAAGTCTAACCACGCTTTACCAACTTCCCTGACTCCTTTGGTGATTACGTTAACAATAATCTCGAAACGGTCTCATTTGGCATATAAGGTACGCGGTGGGTTTCTTAGCTTTATTATTTTCTTAATTTCCCCATATGGTCCTGTTTGTGTATGAGTGTTCACCTCCTACAAATATTCTGACTTTTCTAATATTACTGTTGCATTTCTCCTCTTTGAGTTAGTGGAGCAAAGGAAACACTGGACTGAACACTTCAGAAGACTCCTAAATCGACCACCACCTACAACGCGCCCAGCAATACCAACAACGGAGACAGAGCTACCAGTGAACACCAACCCCCGACGAAATCAGAAGTCCTGAAGGCAATCAAGATGCTAAAAGCTGGAAAAGCAGCAGGACCAGATGGAATCCCCGCAGAAGCATTGAAAGTGGACCCAGAGACAACAGCGGACTTAATGACGCCACCACTGCAGAAGGTGTGGAAAGAGGGCAAAGTACCTGAAGATTGGAAGAAAGGATACTTATTCAAACCACCAAAGAAAGGAGACTCAAGAAAATGCAAGAACTGGCGCGGAATTATGCTCCTGTCCATCCCAAGCAAAATACTTAGCCGCATCATCCTGGAGAGAATCAAACATGCCACCCTGGATGAAAAACTTCGACCGGAACAGGCTGGATTCAGGAGAAACAAGTCATGCATTGATCAGATCGCCACATTACGGATCATCAGTGAACAAAGCTTGGAATGGCAGTCACCTCCTTATCTCAACTTCATCGAGTTTGTAAAGGCCTTTGACAGCGTCGATCGAGAAGTGCTTTGGCAACTACTACGTTACTACTGGTGTCACCGACAATTATACATCTCATCCAACAGCTATACGACAATGCTGCATGCCAAGTAATCCACAACGGGAAACTTACGGAATCTTTCGAAGCGAGGACAGGAGTTAGACAAGCTGGCTGGCTGCCTAATATCGCCAATGATTTTCCTGATTGCAGTAGATTGGACAGACTGCGACGGGCAATGAGGAAACAGTCATTAAATGGACCCACACAGAATACTTGGAGGATGTGGACTTCGTCGATGATATATGTCTGATTTCCAACAAACTGGAAGATATGCAAGTGAAAAGCAACAAGTTCGCAGAAGAAGAAGCATCCAGAGAAGAAAGGACTTCAGGTGAACATAGAGAGAACAGATGTGGTGGTGAAGATTCATGGCCAACACCACCAACAGCAACAACAACAACAGACAACAGTCAGCCAGCATAAACGGAAGGAACCTGAAAGAAACAACCTCCTTTACCCGCCTAACATGGGAAGCATCGCTTCAACTACAGGCGAACGGAACTGATGAGGATATCAAAGCAAGGATCGGAAAAGCAAGACAAGCTTTCACTACTCTCAAGTCTGTGTTGAGGTCAACAACACTCAGCATCAAAAATAAGATCCGGGTTTTCAACTCCAATGTGAAGTGAGTGCCACTTACTGTACGGATCAGAGACTTGCGCTGTGCGTCATAAAGAGCATCTCAAACAAACTACAAACCTTCATCACCTGGTGTCTTCGCTCAATACCACTCAAGATCAGTTGAACGGCCAGAAGAGATCAGCGACAGAGAGGGATCTCTGGCAATGAGCAAACCAATTCAGCAGGAACCAATTGTGAAACAAATAGGCAGGCAGGAAGAAATGGAGATGGATTGGCTGGCCATACTCTGAGGGAACAAACCACCAAGTGAGTGACATCACTAGACAAGCCATTGCTCGAGTGGAATCCGAATGAATGGGAAGCGGCGAGTTGGTCGTGAGTGTGAGGGTGGGTGACTTGGAGGAGGTGATGTGAAGAGGAGATGAAAACGTGTGGGCGGACTTGGAGCCAGGTGAAGACTCTAGCAGAGAACCGAACGCAATGGAGACGCGTGGCTGAAGCCCTATGTTCCTCTAGGAATTAAAGGATACAATAATATAATAATAATATCCTTTTAAATCTGAAGGTTTTACAGGACTTCTCTAGTTACTTCAGGTTGGGCTTCCCTCTCATTTTTCATTTTAATGTCAGTGTGAATTGTCCCTGTACTTCATCGGTCAGTGTTTTGTCTATCCCACTTGGTGCTATTTCTATTTTAGAGATGACATCCTCAGGTTTTAACTTGTCTGCCACCATAATGAAATTTTTATCCCTTTTCTAAAAAACTCATTTCTCTGGGATTCAACACATACGCCAAATGAAACCGTTTCTAGGTGAGTGTAAATAGTTTGATTTAATGCCAGAAACTAACAACCCCAATAGAATGCATGGTGTTGTTAGAGTTCGTTAGTCGGGATGCCCTATTAGACCTATGGTTGATTTTATGAATTCGCCTATTTATAATTTCTCTGAAAATTTAACTTAGGTATTCAATCCCCTTAGAAGTAAATCAAAATCCAGACTAAGTAATTTTTATGGACTAAAACATAGATTATATTTGCCCCAACCAAGTTCACTCCTAACAGTTTGAAATATACATTCGATAATTTAAAATAAGATAGTGAGGAAAAAGTTGCTAGTTTTAACATCGCCGGTTTATAAACACGTATACCGAAAAATATGGCCATAGAAGTGGTCGGAAACAAACTCATTTCTGACGAAGAACTTGAACTTAGAAAAAAAGTGCCATTGGAGCACATAATTCTGGTAATTCAGCTATACCTGACTTCCACAGCATTTTAATTCCAAGAGAAAATATACGAACAAACTAAGGAAGTTGCCATCGGGCTACCTATATCCTCGACTGTGGCAGATATACTCTTGGGCAGATGGGAAAACTTGGTGACTGAAACATTCAGACCAATCCCAAAAGTATGGTGGAGGAATGTAGATGAAGCATTGACTGTACAGGACATAAATAGATTTTTTGAACACATCAACTCGAAGGTAGTGGCAATTTGATTAACATACGAACTGGAAAATCAGGGACGGGAGCTTCCAATGTTTGACCGTAATGTAAAAAGGGAAGTACGGCGCAATTTATAGCACGGTCTGTTTAAACGGTGACATTCGTCTCCTCGTCTCAATGGCATAACGACCAGCTACAATTTCCAAGTTAAAAATATCACTTACTACAACCTTACTGTTTTCAACATATAGTAAATAATGCGCAAAGTCCACGGATGTCTTGTGGCTGAATTATTCTGCAGATTTCCCATAAAAGCTCTCTTGGCCTTTTGAGGTCTCCGCACTTTACAAAATACTGATCAGTGGTGAAATTTCAGCGTTAGTTTCGCAAGCCTACCATTGCGTTAATGCATAAAAAATCAAACTTTCAATAGTCAGATAGGGAAATGTAATACTTATCTAAAGACCTACCCATGCCTCGAAGCTCTAGTGAGTTGTCAGTGTTGTGGATAATACTACCGACAACAAGACCTTTTCAGTTGACATTCAATTCTTTTGAAATGATCTGCTACTTTAGTAACAACAATTTCCCATCTCCTAACAGCTGAGAACGCGTGGAACAGCAGTAATGGGGATTGGAATGACAGCTCAACGGTGTAGGATAGTTTTGAGAAACATGAAACTTCCATAAGCTTAACTGGACAGTGTCAACATGGAATGCCCCAACTGTGGAAACGTTTCAAGCGTTTCCTTTGTTATTAAGACAATAGGACCGTTTACCAGCATTTCCTACTAGACTTAATGGAGCAAGTGACTTTAAAATAATTAGAGCTCAGAGAGAGCAGAAACGCTGCGTAAAATCAGGGGTTGCGTCTAGACTTTGGACGTTCGGTTAACCATTTTGACATAAACTTTCCAGAAGTCAACATGTCTTGTGGGAAAATCATTGCATAAATGTCCCGTTCAAATCCCCAAGATGTTTGCAAAGCAAATTAGGTATCTGCTTACGATCTCAATTCAGGTTTGCTAATACAGTAACTAAGGTACTCCGAAAAAGAGCTCCACATACTTTTAATTATAAAACGTAAATCCTATACAATTCAATGAATTAGCATGGCGTTTAAGAATCAAATGCACAGAAACCACAGCATAAATTAGCAACTGTGTTTAAATTAATGAAAATTATTATTTGTCATGTCAACGACTCTGTACATTTATGAAAATGATGGTCTGTGAACCTGAGTGTTTGAGAGGTTGGCAGAATACGGCTACAAATGTGTTGGGTGATAAAAGAAGTTCTATGTGTAAAAACATTTTGCATCAACGAGTAGACATTTCCTTTATAAAATATGGATGATTTAGTCAATTTTAGGTCGTTGTAACACGTTCTGCTTAAATACACCTCCTTTATCATTCACTTATGGTATGAAGAATGTGAAGACGACAGGAGTTGCTGATGGTAGTTATATATTTATCTTAATTTTTAGCTCTCCACTGGTCTGACGATACTAATATTCATGGGAAATCAAGCGACTATATGTATTTAACACGCGATTTCATTGCTTTGAACTGTGAAAGCGTGAGACAAGGGGTTACGACAAGCAAAGAAATGACGCACTTCAGAGCTCTGAATGACAGGCTCCGACCAAAGCAAGCTAAACACAAGTCTGGAGGGGAATCACCAAAGGCGTATTTAAATATTACTCATGGAGTAGCAAATAAGTGAGAACTTTAATGCTTATACATAAGATTCAGTTTGCTCTTTGTCTTGTATAAATATAAGCAGGTTAAAATGTTTCTTCGCGTAAATTTTGCTATGTATATCCCAATTAAAAAGTTTATTGCAGTGTTTACTAAACAGTAATTAAAAATTTCACGTTTCTATACATACTTATGATAGAACGTAGAAACGCACATTCTTATTGCATTGAACGTCGTTGTCAACTAGACACTTTCGATTTTTTAGACTTCAAATGCACTTCAATTATTACAAACCTATTTCAGATGTCCAATATCCAATATCGTTTTTACGAGCTAGTACAAACCATTTTGATTTCCTTGTGCTTGCCTCTTGATTGTGAGGTATAGATTCCTGATCTTCGGTAAACTTCTGCGTAGCTCGTCCCACCCGACTGTCGTAGCTTTGGTTGACTCCAAAAGGAGTAGTGCTCGGATTAGTTATATGTGGGTTTTAGTATGCGGTTTGTTAAGACTGTTACTACTGTGAATGGAGTTGATCCTTTCACCAGTTAGTCCTCCGGTATCGTCGTCAAAAGAAAAGAGATAATAATAATAGATATAATTAGTGAAGTTATTCAGACTAACAGACAGAAAAAGAAATAAAGAAAACGTAACAACAGTCAGCTGATTAAATTTGAAGTTGATAAAGATATATATATATATATATATATATATATATATATAGATAATATTGACAATAAGTGTAGCCAGAGTTGTCGAGAGGGTAAGACGGGAGAAAATGTAAAGAAGTTAAATGACGAACTAAGTTATCTGCTCCTGAATGGTGTATGGGATTTTAAGGGGATAGGCCATTTGAACGCAGTCCTTGTGTCGCTGCATGATTGTCCAGCTTTCTCTTAAAGACGTTCACAGATGGTGCCATAGCTACATCTTCTGGTAAGGAATACCAGGGACGGCAAACCCGCAGTGAAAAGAAGTGGGAACGCACCCGGGTCTTTACCCTCTAGGCAGCTATCCTTCTGGGATTTTCCGAAGTTTCGGTAACAGTGAGTCCCTTATTTTTTACTGGGTTCCTAGCCTCACGCCCAACCTTTCCTCCCTTCGGGCCCCACTACCTGATTAGCGAGGGTGAGGAGTGCTTCGGTCGAGGATCGAACGCCGGACGACGTCAGGTGTAACTTGCGAGTGTTCTACCGCTGAACCACCAACGCAACCAACTGTAATTGCACAACTTTTTAACTAGGTTCTATAGTTTCGTTCTTTTTCTCACTTGTTGTAAGGACAGAAGAATTTGCTAGATATCTCAGATAGGTTTCGAATTATTCTTATCATATGCATTCCCAATTGGTTCGATTGGTGAGGTTCCAGTAATCGATTTCTCCCACCACCTTATGTTACCTTTGTCGCATCCTATTGTATGATTATGTGCTACTGCATTTGGTGTTACAGTTAAGTTTTTTTTCTATATCTAATGTCCTAGTAGGATCTGTTAGTTTGGATTTCGCTAGCCCTAACCTACTACCTGACTTATATATTTAACCCCACATTTTAGTAAATAATCCTATTTCACTATGTAATATATGTAATAAACAAACTAATGCTGGATCAAATCTTACTTTGAATGTGCAGAGATATCATAAAGAAATGGAAACACTAAAGTATAAGGATAAGGCGGTAAACAATTACACTGCAACCACTTAAAACAACGGAAGTATGCTAAAGAAACTAAGAACTACGTAATGTTACATAATCAAGTAACACACAGGCTGAAGAACCTCTGTCATCCAAAAACGCACATTGTCTCACCAAACAAAAGACATTTAGTGGTAGGGAACTCTTTACAAGTAGCTCATCCTGAAACTGTACAAGTGAAAACACGTTTATGTGTATGCATCACATGTAGTTGGTAACAACGAGAAGAAAAACATTTTCAAATATTTCTCAGTAAAAATTTGTTCTGTTTTTTAAGTTAGAGACATTGAGAGGTGTAGACGTAACAATCACGTGACGATTTGTCAAGCCGATCACGAAATTAAGTTAATGAATCAGATGGCATGCTAAAATTGATGGAACTAAATATAAACTAATAAAGCAAAAGTAGGATTTCAAGTCAGAGAAGCTGATGTGTAACAATAACAGGCGATATAGTCCTTCTAGGCGAGGACGCTGACAAAATAAAGCAGAGTCTTCTGATCACCTTGAGCAGTAATCCCCGTATGTTTGGCATGCGATTCGCTCCCGCCAAATGTAAGATGATGTTACCGGATTGAACTACACCGGCTCCTAGATTAGAAATAGGAAGTGAAGTGGTAGAGCATGTTGACCAATTCACTTACTTGGGAAGTACCATCAGCCAGTGCCAACGGGTTGATCTCTGACGAAATCTCAGCACGAATACAGAGGGCTAGTTTCGCATATGCCAGTTTACGCCATCTCTGGCTTAGTAGACGTGATATCCGACTGGCTATCGACCAAAGGGCGTGTGTACTGCTTATCAGTCCGCTCCATCCTCCTCTATGGCTAGCTGAGAGACCTGGTCATTGAGAGTGGAAAACATGAAAAGTTTAGCTGTCTTCGATCACAGGTGCCTGCGTTCCATCTCCCGTGTGAAGTGGTATAATAAGGTGAGCAATATTGAGGTTAGGCGTCGAGTACTAGGTAAGGAGGGGAAATCAGTCGACGACACTGTGAAATTACATCGACTGAGATAATTAGGACATGTGTGACGTATGCCTAGTCATCGCCTTCCTCGACAATGGGCAATGTTAGCTGATATAGGGTCAGGCTGGGAAATAGCTAGTGGCGGTCAAACCAAAACATGGCACCAGTCAATGAAATCCACAACAGTCAGTCTAAGCCACCTAGGAACGTGTAGACTTCCTGGTTGGGGTCCTCGGGACGGTAAAAACCAATGGTTGTAAACAATTGGTGACATGGCTCAAAATCGTTGTCAATGATTGGCGTAGATGCATCCACTCTTTGTGACTTATGATTTCCAATGAAACTGTTTTGTTCTTGGTTATTCCTATTCCTTTGTCTCACACCTCTGTTTACTGTCTCTAATATGCATTTCTTCTACTTTCTTCTCTTGCTTTGTGTGCTACATGGAGTGTGGTGACTTTAACTGTCGCACATATGTGCAAAGTTCTATGTAAAAAGCAGACAGACAGACAACAATAACAGAAGATGTGACATGACAGTAACAAGGTTAAAGAAAGTGTTTTCAAGATTTCAATTACAACATTTTTACTGATTAAGGTCAGTGTAATTCGAATGGTTAATTGAAATCCTACTCCCTGCAAGGTTCAGTCGGCGATGATTAAATTCCACAGCCTATTCACTACTATACACTTCAGGAAATTCCCGGGTGCCCTGTAAAAAATCGATTTCAGGGTCTACCTGGTAATAAATTATTTGTCTGTTTACTTTTGTTCCTTTGCGTTCTGCGCAGAACATAGGATTTCAAGCCTGAGCTTTGTTTTTCCAGCAGTGTTGGTCTTTACTTCTTATGGAGTCTGGTTGCTAACGTCACGCCCAACCTTCCATCCTTACCACATTTACTGCCGGCCATTCGAGGTTTAGGAGTGCGTTGGCCGGGTGTGGAATCCCGGACCACATCTGTGATTGGCAAGGATTCTACTGCCGCTACAGAAAGCGTTATCCATTAGGCCGTTTGGGTTTCAAAGTGACTGTACCACCCGGTACTTATGGTAAGAATCGATTAGAAGTATTCTATGGTGGTACTGCAAACAACGTGTCCTTGATGATACCCTTAAAAAGTATTCTCTGTATATGACTATAACACTCTGCTCTGCAGAAGCGGGTGAACTAACAGATACACTTTGAAGAAACCAACAGCGTCACCTTACTGCATACAAATAATGAAATTACTGATTTTATAGAAGAAGTGAGCCATAGTTCATCCGCATGGGATGTTTCCTTACCACATAAAGAACTGACATTTTAGTGTTTCTTTTGATAATTCTCCACTAAATTGAAGATTTAGGGAAAGTATCTTTTTGTAGGGACTAGAGGTGTACATGGTTTGCCTACCCTCCTGTTTATTAGCTTTCACTGTGAACTGTTTTTGTTTCTCAAGTTCATCACTAATGCCATGTGAACTGCTAATATGTGAGGAAGACAGGCTGTCGGCTTTGGTCTAGATGTATACACCTGCGGAAGTTATCACGGTATCTATTCCAAGTGCATTTCCTGTAGACAGACATCTTCAGGGTTGCATGGCTACCTCTCTAATTTACTGTATATGCTAAAAGGATATTTTAAAATCTAATTCCTTCTCTAAAGTGAACTGAGTTGTAGGATGGCATATGTTGGAAAAACAGCTGGATATAACAAGAAAATGATATCCACATATCTCCAGTAAAATGTAAAATGAATTGCCATTTAGCTTAGCTAAACTTTCAAGTTATGGCACGAATGAATAACAAAAGCAGTGTCTAATAGTTAAGCCATAGCTATGTCTCCCCTTTGTCTTTAGAATTGATTACAAAAAGTGAAGTGGGCATTTAAGGCACACATCAATAAAAGCCTGTCTAAATAATGAGTCAATGCAGATATTTAATCGATCAAAGTATATTCAAATTAGTTAGATGTCAATTACCCAGTACTGTGCTATAAGCTACACTTATTCTATGTGAGTACTAATGACACTCCCCAGTCTTCTAAGCTGAAGTAGGTGGAGTGGGACACATTGGCTGAAAGTCGACCTCGTAAGCCAATCTGCCATACCTCCATAATATATTCACATACGTTCCCTCTCGTTTCGGCCAGTTGACAATGAAACCACATACAGTGAGAACAATATTTTGTTGGATAAATTAACGTAACCCATGTAACTGACGAGATTAGAAGCATCAAAGAGCATATACATAAGCAGAGGTATACAAACATGTCTTGTGGTCAGCATCTAAACTCCTGGTAAACATCTGCGCGATCTGATGCTAAGGTAATCTGCATATGTCAAGAAAGGTTCAGAGGTAACCATTTGGTAAACCACACAA